CGGGACGGTGGGGCAGGGGCGGCCTCTGGGTTCAGCAGCAGCAGCGGCAGCAGAGACCAGAGCAGGGGCCCCGGCTGGGCTCTGGTCCGCGTTGACCCCACACCCATCGCCTGACGCAAGGGAGAAGGAAGGGGAACTGGAGCCGACCCTGACCCCCGAAACAGGCGGTGACTCCTGGCCCTGGCTCCTGGGAAACAGGTCCTGACCTCGCCCTGATCCCCAGCCCCAGACTGGCGCTGAACCCAGTCCCTAACCCCGTCCCAAGGCAGCCCCTGACCCCGCCCTGACCCGCCCCGTGTCCGACCCCTGACACCCAGGAAGCAGTCTTTTGCCAGAGAATTCCTTAGGCAGCCGCAGGTCCCAGAACAAAGGAGAGGGTGAAAGCTGCCGGGAGCTTGTCCTTCTCTCCACTACGGAGACAACTCACAGTCTCCAAAATGCATCTCCTTTCTGGGAACTCTTTATCTCCGCACCTTGAAAGCTGTCATCTCGCCTAGTGTTCTGGGCTCCAGTTGCCTTTTCTAGATAGCTGAGGAAGAGGTGGAGAACCCGGGCCAAGACTCGTCAAGAGTTTCCAAGGGCAATTTGGGGAAAAGATGAGAGGAGGACGTGAACATCTGTCCCCAGCTGGTTCACTGACTTACCCCCGTAATCTTAGCACTTTGGGAAGCCAAGACGGGAGGTTCACCTTGAGGCCAGTAGTTCAAGACCAGCCTGGGCAACATAGCAAGACCTCCCCATCTCAACTCAGAAAAAAAAAAAATACAATAAAATAAAATAAAAACAGCTGTCCCTAGGTGGAAGAGGCTTGGGGTTTCTCTTAGGAATACCTGTTTCCATGGAACTGTGGGGACGACACCAGTCCCCTGGTCTGAGTTGGCAGCACAGCTCCACTGCACAACCGTGGGGGTTGAGAGTAGTTTCAGTGTCCACCCTCCTGGAGCCATGCTGCTCAGAAGGAATATTGTCTGAGCCACATATGTAACCTTAAATTTTACAGTAACAACATTCAGCTAAATAGAAATAGGTGAAATTGATTTTAATATTTTTTATTTTACCCAATATGTCAAAAAATTATTGTTTCAACATATAATGCAGGTAAAAATCATCGAGATAGTTCACATTCTGTTTTCCATGGTAAGTCTCCAAAATGTGGTGTGTGTTGTGTTGTCTACTCACAGCACAGCTCAGTTCGGCCTCGCCATGTTCAGGTGCACAATCATCGTGTGTGGCCCAGGGCTGCTGTCCTGGACAGCACAGGAAAAGTGAACACAAACTCCCTCCTTGCTCTTCTCCTCCCACACCTGCTAGCCTGTAAGAGGAGAAAGCAGCCCTTCCTGGGTTCAGTGTGGTAGTT